TTTTAATTTCCCTGGCTTACCTCAGTGTTTTTTCCTCATCTGCCTGACTTAAGCAGTTCCTCACTTGCTGTTATGCCGTCCTGTCATTTGCAGGTGCAACCGTTATAGAAATTTGTTTTAAGCAACGTCTATTCCAGTAATTCAGATGATTATTATGATTCTGTTGTGTTGTGAAAATCCTGTCTTGATGCTAAAGATAACTAATTATTCTAATGTCTTCAGCTTTTAAAGACAACGTGCTGTGAATGCCATGCCTCTGTTCAGCTGGATGAAATGGTCGCATGAGACAAGAGTGCAGGCTCAGGATGAAACACCATCTCTGAAAATCTCAGGGGGGTTACCCAGCCGCATGCTGATCACAGAGCTCCTGTGGCATGTGGAAGAGCGCGAGCGGCTGGCGAGAGAACTGGAGCGTGAGCATAGGATGGCTCACAGCACTCTGGGTCTCCACTGGTTTCAAAAGTACCCCAGGTTGCGGACCCTCATCCCCTCATCAGAACTACAACAGCTGGAGTTCTTGTGTGCCCAGATCCCATCTATCCAAGCAGCCACCGTCCTCTCCAGGTGTTTAGTAGTACCCATGCCTTCTTCTGTCCTCACATTAGTAAGCTGTCAACAGATACTAGCTGCTACTGCATCAACAGGGCCTGACAGCAGGCAAAGCAGAGAAGACCCAAAGGGAAAGGGAGCTAGGGCGAGCTGCCAAGAAAGCCATTATGTGTTATTGTCACAGACACAGGCGATACAGGGTGTTAACATGTGAAGGTGAAGGACGCCCTGTAAGGGTGAGTGAAGCCAGGCTGCCGGGGTTGCCACTCGTCTGTTAGCCAGTATGGAAAAGTAGCTGTTAGACATGGTTGAGCAATGAGCACTGTGACCTACTTACATATTCCCCATAAAACTCTCTACTAGTTCACTACTGTGTGCTTACATAACATCTTAGCCAAGAAAAACATATTTAATAAGATGTGTTATTATGCTTTTATCATTTACAAAAATCTTCGCTGTTGTCCCAGATATGTCATTTTTTGAAACTGTGAGAGAAAACAGATAAAAGCACACAGGTCCAACATTTTAGGTGAAGCACAGAAACTTCACATTAGCAGGCTGACACCATGCTGATGGAAATATTATTTCTTAGTTTGTAGATACTCAACTCCTCTCCTTGCATCTTATGGGACTGACATGGTTGTACATTTGTAGACCATCATCTACATGCTGTAGCCTTGTACTGCCAACAAGGGCCAGTGTCAGTTCTAGTAGTTGCCACTTGAGTATGGCTCAAAAAGGAAGTCATTCCCTAAAGCAGGGGTTTCGCACTCCAGGCCTCGAGGGCCGGTGTCCTGCAGGTTTTAGATCTCACCCTGGGTCAACACACCTGAATCAAATGATTAGTTCATTACCAGGCTTCTGGAGAACTTCAAGACATGCTGAGGAGGTCATTTAGCCATTTAAATCAGCTGTGTTGGATCAAGGACACATCTAAAACCTGCAGGACACTGGCCCTCGAAGCCTGGAGTTCGACACCTGTGCCCTAAAGGCTCCCATTTAAATTTAACTTAGCAACATTATAAAGCATCTACAGCTAGTTTCCCCTTTATAAGTCCTCTGAGTGGGCTGAATTTGTTTATAACCAACTGGATAACCAAGTTAGGGGTGTGGTCTCAATAATTGACAGGTTGGGCAACTAGAGCTGGAATCTGTTAGGGCTCATCCACTACTGAAGGTTATTAAACTGATCCTCTTCAACATCTTTGTGCTGTTATTACCTTGTGCCTTTGTTAATGTACAGACCCTCCCAGCAGTGAGTGCTAAAGTTTTATGAGTATTTACAAAGATGGCGCAGTGACAAGATTGCTTGTTAGAGTGACTCTGATAGAGTGACTGATTTTTTCCGACTGACTCTATTGCATATGCATTTCTGAGAGTTCCTTTCTCAAGGCACAAAATATAGGGAAGCGAATATTTACATCACAAGCAAACCCGCAACTCTGAGAGCCATTTACACCTGCTATTGACCTGTTTAGTAAATCTGGCACTTAATTTGTTAATAAGCACTAATTAGTCAACATGTATGTATTTTCACTGAATCTGTACAGTTTATGAACCCTTGTTAACCTTAGTTAGCTAAGGTTAGTAAGCATGGAGGTAAATTCTGGCTCCATGCTAATGTTAAGGCAATAAAATGTGGAATCTAAACCTCTGGGTGAGGGCAAAATCGCTACACGGCTGCTGCTATGAAGACAAAAGTCATAATAAAGAAATAATATCTCTGTCAAAGCTTTTCAAAACTTGAGTAGATGTCATGTCCACTGTCTCTAATGTAAGAGGTCAAACTTTACCACCAACCCCTTCAGCAGAAAGAATAATAACCAGATAAGAGTGTGTGACTATTTCATAAACTACAGTGATACTGTGTTTTTAGGAACAGAGACATATTTCAACGTGGCTTAGTGTGACTGATTTTCAAGTCAGAGACGAGAGGACAGAGCGCAAAGGAAACAAGAAGGAATAAATGATGAGGAAATGAGAAAAACCTCTCCAAGAACTGTTTAATTAACTATAATGTTGTATGTTTCCACAGGTTTCGTGAGGTGCTTGCCACTAACAACATACGACCCTGGGAGCTGGCATCTGTGTTTAAGCAAATACTAAAGGACTTCCTGAGCCAAAGGGGATATGATGAAGAGGATGACCTCTCAGTGCAGCCGGTGCAGTTCCAACCCATGGAGGCTTGGACCAGCCGGTACAAAATGAAGCAGGGGTTTGTCACACCCACTGTCCCCAACTGTGGCGACCATCCAAGGGAAGAGATCCCAACGGTCTCTGGATACGTGGATCGGGTCATGCGGCACTCTGGTTCATTCACAGCACACAGGGACTGGGACCTTCCATATTATTATCCAGTACCTCTCAGGTCCAAAGGTGCTTACAGCACCACACTGTGAAAGGACAACTCTTTAACCATCTGCAACCAACAGCATGGAGACCAAATCGCAATATGCGTCTTAGATATAGACATTTCACTAGCTTTACCAAAACGTGGAATAGCACTAGGCTAGGTGTTATATGTACTCAAATGTTTAATTAATGGCAATAACTAATTCTTATCCCTACTTCACAGCCTGAGTTGTTTAGTTACTCCTTATTCTAAACCTTCAATTGAACAGCTGGAGATGCATTTCAGAGATGCCAAGAACCTGGAGTGATTTTAATAGTAAAAGCACTAGATGCCTTTTTGGCTTTTGGCTAAGTGACAAACTGACTGAGTTGGTCAATTTGTGGTAGCTCATTAAGAGCTCAAAATGTCCAGCTTTTGGAGTGAATACATGTGTAAAAACATGACTGGCTCACATATAGTTAATGCAAAGATGTAAAGACTCCACGTTACCTTATCTAACACAAGTCAGTCAACTTTCCTGTTATTGCTGGCCAAAACCTCTTGGGGTGGCAAACATTTTATATGCAGGAAAAACCCTGGAAATCTGAGTGAGCACTCTTTAATGTAAATGTTTCAGACTGAAAAATAAAAAAAACATTGAGCTAAACATTTTATATAGATTAGGCAGAACTCACCTTGATTTGTGTAGGACTTGTTTTTGTTCTTGTGTATCAGTGTTTAACTTCCTTTCGGAGTCCTAAATCCCTTGACAAACAGCAGCTATTGTTCTGTGCTACAGTTAAGACACCCTTCAGGAAGAAGTGTAGCAATGCACTATTTGATGGTCATTAAACTCAATCAACCAACTTGAAAAACAGATCAACGTGTAAATGGTAATAAATAGTATGTTTTCCATTTAGCTTATCAATATACTATTGGACAAAAAATATTATTAAGTTGTTGCCTTGACTAAAGAACGTCCTTTATAAATAAAAAACAAACAAACATTAAAATAAGATTTACTATAATTCAGTTTGCATTAGTGAAGGCCTCAGTCGGATCAACACTGATAATCTAACCATTAATTTTTGATAATTCACAGGTAATGAAAACCTTAAAATAAAGAAAAACATGCAAAGACAAAATGATATTTTTCACTTGTCTGTTTTAGATGACCTGCATCAAACAACATGGTAAGAAAATGTGGGGACTTATGCAGTCCATCTTTGGGACTGTTTATCAGACCCACATCAACAGCATCCACCCTTATAATATTAGGTCAGTGGTGGGGAACTCCAGGCCTCAAGGGCCGGTGTCCGGCAGGTTTGAGATATCACCCTGGGTCAATACACCTGAATCAAAACTAGTTCATTACCAGGCTTCTCGAGAACTTAAAAGACATCTCGGGCAACTCATCGTGTACCTGGAGTCAAGTGTTTTGACCAATTCAATATAACTATATATATTTTTAGACACAAGTTGTAACGGCCGTCAATTTTCTTTGTACGAGTTTATTTAATGGCGTGCTGCGGGGAAAAGTCTGTTCTAACATTTAAGTCTAAGGTTTATTTTGAGAACCTGAGGGCTCTTTTTTGCTTCTCATCTGTAAACTCTCTCACGTGATTCTTGCATAGGTGGTAGAAGAGGTTTGTCGTGCTTACGTCTGTGGTGGGGACCTGTTTGTGGTATTATTTGCAGAGTACAGATTTCTGGTCCATGTCAGACTTTTCATAACCAACTATCTCCATGCTAGAGAGTTAGCCCCTTGTTTAGGAATAAGATCCTCAATTAGTTTTGACTGGTCCTTCCGTTTGGTGCTACCTGTTCTGCCTCATTTTTACTGTCCATGCTGGTATTCTCTGTGCCTGCATGGTCTTCCAAATTCAGTTGAGAAGGTAAGTTGGCCATTTAAATCAGCTATGTTGGATCAAGGACACATCTAAGACCTGCAGGACACCGGCCCTTGAGGCCTGGAGTTCCCCCACCCCTGTATTAGGGGATCTAGTGTAAGATTTTAAGAGGAATCTGGTAGCTTTGGTAGAGTAGTGATGGGATTTCTGGCTCTTTTTAGAGAACCGGCTCTTTCGGTTCGGCTCACTAAAAAGAGCCGGCTCTTTCAGCTCTTTCACTTAAATTACACAATTGAAAGCATGAAAGCATATGTGTATTGTTTGTGTATTTATACACAAGCATTCATATAGAGTCAAATAAAATTTTAAAAAAAAGTTCATTTACCTGTTACTACCACACACCAAATCCGGTCGTTGGTACTTGCTGGCTTGTGTAGCCACTAGGTAACAAAAGCTCAACACTGCCCCTAGCATCCTGGAGCACTTCTGTTGTCTTTTGTACGTGTTTTGAGTTTTTATGTGCTTCTGAGTTTTTACGTGTTTTGGAGTTTGTACGTGCTTCAGGGTTCGTACGTGATTTGAAGTTTGTACATGCTTTGTCTCTAGGGGCCACCGTAAATATACTTTTATTTATTCACGCCACATAAAATGCAATAAATAAATCATATAATACAAAAACCTACTAGTTACAGTTCAACTTTTAACTATTTAAATTTTCAGCTTTTTCCTTTTAAACCAATTTAAAGTGAAACAACACAAAACACTGCAAATCACAACACAATTAAATATAAATTATAATATGAAAACAAAAATAAGATGCACATTCTCTGTCATATGGGCCTGTATGTATAAACTTTCTGAATCCTTTATCATCTGCAACTGAAAATAGTTGTGGATGATTACTATACCTTTCTAATGTGATGTTGTTGTCCCTGGCTCTCTTTCTCTCTCTCTCCCTCCTGCTCTGTTCCTGTGCTACTGAGTGCAACTACCGCCCCTCTTCCAAGCATAAAGCACAAGGCTCGCATGCTGAGTGAAGCCGAAAAAAGGGTGAGAGAGAGGGTGAGAGAAAGAAAATAAAACCCCACGGCTCGCGATAAGGAGCCGGCTCGCGTCGTTCACGTCAAAGACCCGGCTCTAAGAGCCATTTCGTTCGCGACTGACCCATCACTATGGTAGAGCAAATATTAGTTACATTTCTTAAAACAGTGTGCATTTGCTTGGATGACACCGGAGTTTTTACCCTTATCTCAATTTGAATACTTAAAAAAAGACCACTGGCAGTGTAAAAACAAAGGTTAAAATACATTCAGATTCGAGGTTTTAGGAAAACCATACAAAAACGTGCAGCTGTATGGATGAAACCATGAAAATATCCCCCCGTTTGTTTTCTACAGCTCCGGAATAATTTGTGTTAATTTTGGTCGTTACGCATTTACCCATTACGGTGACATTTAAGCATGCCTACAATGTGATTTCTTCTATTTGAACTTCACTTTCCAATACTTGCTGCCAAGCTGAGACATGATGTATATGTCCGCCAACGACTTAAAACACTTGATAAGTTAAAAACAATTTAACGGTATCACTTTGAGCAGCTAAATCTAGCAACAACAACAAAACCACACGCCGTTAATTTTTCTAAAATATTTAAGTGTCTAACACCTGAATGCAAAGCTAGACCATGCTAGCATGCTACTTAGCTTAAGGTCAACCACGTTTACGCTAACTAAACCATCATACCTGCTCTCTTTCGACGATGGTTCATCGTCTGACTTCCTCTCAGCCACTTCTTCTGTGAGTTTAATGTTCGCAAACCTGTTCCCTGAAGTGAACCAGTCCGATATTTGTTCAGCGGTAAATATTTTCTTCATTTTGCGCCAGTAATTGTATTTTTTTCCCCACTTCGCTGTGATAGCGGGTAACACGAAGACGAAAACACGTGAGGCAGGCGCAGCTCTAACGTCTCCCACTGGCGGTTGGAATAAAAATGGCAAGTCTACCTGTCTCTCTGTCTGTTTTTTAAATGAACCTTATAAACAAGTTATCAGCACCCACAGAAGATACACCACGAACAGGGTAACCAAAATTGTTATAGTTAATACTGTACTAGTCATAGTATTATTGTTAATTTTTCTGCTCTTGGTTTGTTTTTACATGACTAACAAATGAAAACATTTTAATTAACTGTAATACCTTTGGTATGTGGAACTAGGCAAGAAGATAATTATTGTATACGATTTTGTCACAATAATGATAGCAACCAAACAAAATATTTCTATATTAAAGAACAAAATCAGAGAAATTACTATCAATTATGACTTACCTGTTTAGGTGATCTCCACTATCTATTTTTTAAACCACTGAAAGCTAATTAGCTTGGATGTTTTATATCTAAAGACATACTTGACAGCTTAAAATCAGATTTATGTTTGTGCACTGTCTCATGTAAAATGCCAAATAAATTTCTTAAACAGATGTAAGCATTTGTGTTAACCTAATATTTAGCATAGTGATTTCTAAGGTGTGGGCTTGGATGTCCCACTGGGGCATGAATTTAGTGAAGTAATCAGAACTCATAGAACAAATCCAAATGACTTAAGTTACCAGGTATTCTGTCCCATATTTTCTGTCATTAGTGAGTAAACAGGTAGAAAGGAGCAGTAACTATCAGGTAGGAAATGAGAAACTGCAAATAAAGTAAATAGAAAATTAAAAGAGGATAAAAATGAATCTGTGAAGCCAAAGAGAAGATACTTCATCTTCATTTGTGTTAATCAGATTTCTGATTGAAGCTTTGGGGAGGTGCAGAAATTCTTTATATTCAATTGGGCCATTGTTAGAGTGAATTGTTAAATGTTTGTCATTTTTATGTTTACCATTTGTACATTGTTTTAACTCTGTGAAAGGAATTCTTTCTGTCCTCCCCTCCCCAGATTCTCGAGGTTCTGAGTGGGGGGGCAGTAGTGTTTTTATCACAGGCACATCCTTGTGAAGGTCTGTTTGATGTTGGTAAAAGGCAGCAAGGGAGGTCAGATGTGAGGTCATTTTCGTGGTGGACACAGGCCTCCCTTGCGCAAGTGATTGATCGATCGACTGTCTTGTTTTCTTCATGATGAATAAGTCTCTAGAATTAGCGGGGCTTGTGGAAACACAGACCCAACAGCCATGACATTCGTAGGTTTAACAAGGATGATTTTGGAGATTCCTGCTGTTGTTCAGATAAATAAAACATTTGGATCAGGCTCCGAAATACTGACATTCAAACTTAGAAAAGAGAAAAAATTTAATTGCAGTATTTTTTTTTTTTTTAAGTTCATTGTGCTAAAAAAAAAAAAAAGAAAAAGAAAAAGAAATTCATTGGATATACATCACTACAATGGTAAAACGGCAACTAACAATGCCATGTACAGAATTCAAATCTTCAGTCATACAACACAGCACCAAGCATATACACCGACAAAATGTGAACACAGACTCCATAACCAGAGAACAACGTGATATCAATCTAACCTAACAGGACCAAGAAAACGTGGGCCTGCACTAACAGAGGTTTAGTCACAGCACAGTGTCAAAGTCCAAAAAACAGAAGTAGAATAACATTATGGCAGAAAAAACATAAACTTATATTTAAAAAAAGAAAAAAGAAAAAAAAGATTTGACCGTTCAAACAAGCATCAGAGGTTTAACTCCAGCGGTGGACATCCAGTGTTCTCTCGCATTAAGCTAATCTCCGTTCGGAGCTTTTCGTTTTCCTTGAAAACACAAAGAAATGCACAGATTTGATTGATGTCATGAGTTATCAGTATTCACCTGGTCATAGAAAAGCCTTCTTTAATCTTAGAGGAGAACATAGTTACCTCCTGAAGTTTTGTGTTGTCCTTCTTAAGCTTAACGAGATACTCAATCCTCTGTTTGTGATTCTTGTGTCCCACAAGTTTTCCATTCTCCTCAGACAGCTTAATGTTCTGTTTACGGAGAACCTCAATCTCCTGTAAGAAAGCACAAAAAGTTGCAGAAGTCACAAAAGCCTCCTGTAGGTTCACAAATGTGCAATATGCTAGACCCCGACCCATAGCTAGCTAGATAGAGAGATTTTATATATGAAAATGTATAAGGCTAAAGAAGAGAGGGGAGAAACACCCTGAACTTCCCTGTTAATAACACAGGGAAGATCCAGAATCAACCAGCTGATCAGAGCTGAGTCAGGCAGAACATAAAGGAGTAATCCCCAATTCATAGTGACAATAAAAAAAAAAAAAGATTTTAAAACTGCACTTTAAGGACTCATAAATAACTACACATAACAAATGTTAGAAAAACAAAACAACAACTCTGTTGGCAACAGTATTAGTCTTAAAAATACTATATTGTCTTTGTAAATCTGGACCCAGTGTTCCAGATGTAAAATGAGACGGCTATGCATAGCACAATCTTTGTATGGCACATGATTTTTACCTGGATTAATTTCTCTTCCTCCACTATCCTCTGGTTCGTCTCTCTCAGCTCTAGACAGCGGTTTCTCAGCTCAGTGGTGAGCTCTTGAATGCAGGTCTGAGACTGAACCAACATAGACTCCTGCGCCTGCAATCTAATCGCAGAGAGGAGAAGAAAACAGAGCAGGCTGTAAAATCTGAAGCTTAAAAAAAGGTTTGAAGCATTATGCAAGAGCAAACAGATCAATCTGATGACACAAATCCATGCAGATGCTTACTTTTTTTGAGTTTCTGAAAGCTTCTGCATCATTTTGCTCTGTTAATAAATACAAGAGAAACAGGACATGAATAATTATCGGTAACTTCATTAATGATAGAATTTTAAAGCAGAAGAACAGATCCAGACCCTCTCTGTTCTCTCCTCATCTAGCTCTTTAAGAATGGAGTGCTTGAAGGCTTCATTCAACTCTTCACTGAAACACATGCAAGGCAGAATTATTTATTTTATTTATCCTTTTTCATTATAGGTGGCCTGAGGATTGCATAATCTTCAAGATACTCAACCCATTATTATTTCCATTTTGGGTCATCTGGTTCTGCTTAGTGTAAAACTTATCAAGCAAAGCCTGGATCTCCATTCGAACCATCTCTTTCTCACTGAGCTGCGTCTGGGAGAAAGGCAATACAGTATATGAATGTTGTATATATTCAAATAGGATGCATTCATGACAAGCATTTCATGAAAAATGCAAATAAAAAAAATATTTAAATACAGCAACTTCAATAAGAACTTCATAAAGAACTTATTCGAATCTATAAAAACAAAGCTACTTGATATAAATCAGTCTAATTATGAAAGATTATAGATTCATTAATTTTTCCACAAATATACCTTAAGCCGTTCGATTTCCTCATTTTTGGCAGCTCTCTCAGCATTCAGCTCTGATAAAAGAATTTCCATGGTCATCATGGAAGAGCGTCTATTCTCCAGCTCCCGCTCCTGGATTTCCAGCACCTGGCTCAGGTCCCTGTTGAAACTTCCAGGGGTACAGGGTGTCTTAAATTTAAAAAGAGGGAAAAAAGAAATAAACAAGAAAGTTTGTATATGCTATGTTCTTAAGTGCAAATTTAAAAACATACATTTATGAAGGGATATTTAACTTCTTCACGTTCACCAGGTATGTTAGGGCTAGGTTAAACAAGCACACATGGTTGATAGGCAAAGATTTTACACTTTCTGACACAAGCCTCTACTTCAGCTTGTGACACCCTGACTTTGGTTTTTGTGTCTTCTTCTGGTGTCGCATTAGAGATCTTTCATATGCAAGGTGAACATGTTAACCATGAGACCACTGAGCCATGACTTGCAGCTTCTCAATTTGGGTAAGCCACGGTTGGATGTTAAGCTAAATTTGGGCACCAGTGACCAGGTAGATGTTAAAAACTTCGTATTTAAAAACATAAGCAGGTTTTACCCGAGGAAACGATTTAGGCGTTACTGTCGGCTCAACGGGTGGCTGGAAAGCTCCATTCCTGATAGTTTTCTCGACAGCTTCTTGCTGTCGTTGCAGCTGGTAAAAGGTAGAAATTAGGGAAATTGGTAACATTGATGTGTTATTTGATTGACTTAATTGAATAAATAAAAAAAAAAAAAAAAAAAAAACTTTACCTTCTGCTGCAGATTCTGTATAATGACATCCTTCTTGGCGGTTTGCTCTTGAGATGCCTGCAGGAGGCTGTTTTGCTCATCTAAGACTTTAGTAAGCCTTTCAACCTCCTCAGTGGCATAAACAATCTCCTCCTGCAAAACCTCAACCTGAAGACACACAATATATACAATTTGTATCATTCAACTCTATTCTTTGCTCTTAATTACTTATGATGAATCTACAAAACACCACAAATTCATTTACAGTCGTTTCATTACCTCTATTTTGTTGGATGCCACCCTCCTGTCTAAAGTTTCTTTCAGGTCACAGATTTCTTCCTGCATCTTACACTTTTGCTCCTTGATGTTGTCCCTTTCACAGCATGCAGCGTTGCATTTGGCCTGGAAGAGCAATGAGATTAACTGTATAAAAATGCACTATAAAATGGTTGTGTAACGTAAAGGGTAACTACAGCAAACAGTATAAGGACAACGTAGGAGTAAGATTACAGTGATGTCTCTGATATCTTCATTAAGATGAACAATGGTCTGGTCCTTGTGGCTCAGCTCACTGCGGAGGTCTCTGGTTTGGTTAATAAGGTCTAAAACAACATCCTGTAAAACATTACAAGCAGTTTTTAGAAGGGCAGTAGAAATACAGAAGCCATATTTGAGGAATTAAAGATACGAGGCTTACTTTGTCCTGTTCAGTCTTCTGTTCCAAGCTTTTTATGCTTTCCTTGGCAGAGGTAAGATTTTGTTCAAGATCAGCAAGAGTGGACACCTTTGAAACAAAAATGAAACAAGCAGGTTTAACGACTAGGCTGCAAATACTTATATGACAGTTTTTTTATTTGCAGAGATACACCTTGTTCTTAAGACTGACCTGTTGTTGATTTTGTGTTATCAAGTCTGAGACTTGTTTTTTGAGTTGTGTATTCTGCTCCACTGTTTCAAGAAGTTCCCTGAAGGATACGAAAGCGACCCATGTTAATGTAGTAATTTAACATTTTAGGAGACAAAAAAAAAAGGATTAAAAGTTTTAACTGTGCAGAACTTACTTTGATGTACTTTCTTTGTTTTCCTTTAACTGGGAGACTAAGGTGTTTGTGTGCTCCTGCTCAGTTTGCAGAGAATTATTCAATTTCTACAGTAAAATAAATAAATAAATAAATAAATAAATAAATAAATAAATAAATAAATAAATAAAAATCAAGGATAGAAAGTAAACATCATGGCAACATTTTCAGACAAAGCTGTCGTAAACCCTGCGAGTTCACTCACCATGATCTCGGCTTTCAGTTCGTCGATCTCCTTCTGCCTGTCATCCAGCTGCTGTCTTGACTGATCAGCCTCAAACTTGGCCTCAGCTTGAAGCTGGTCAAACGAATCCTGAAGTGTCCGATGCTGCTCCAGAAGCTGCTCCCACTCCAGCCTGGAATGAAGATGTTGTCACGTGAACACATCAACATACTAATGAGGCCACAGCACTGCAAAAAATAAGAACCACTTGAATCCAGCCCCCTCTACTTTATTGGCTGCTTTACTGCTATTTAACTGGATTCAAACAGAGGGAACTGGGCAAACTGTTTTCTGTAATGAACCGTTCCAGCTCTCTGGTGATGGCCACACATATTTTCCTTCAACTCTATATTTAACGCGAGTTGATTTGATAGTCTTTATGTTCCCATAAAGCTAAATGTCACACAGTTGTGTAACACACAGCGCCATTATAATAAATTTATGGAGAAAGCACATTTATCAGTATTAACACAATCCTAAACTGAATTGAAAGCTTTTGAAACAACATCAACACAGATTTGTTTTCAACAGACTTTCCATAATTCAGCATCATTTTCATCAACTTCAATTCAGTTGTTCTACATGTGGTTCTACATAGCATGGCTCTCTAAGAAAAAGAAAAAATGTTGTCCACCCCAGCATTTGACTCATGCTTACTGGACTTTGTCAAGTTGGAGCTGTGTGCTGATCAGACTGTTGGAGAGCTGACTCATCTCTCTCTGCTGCTCGCTCTGACTGTCTATTAGCTTGTTCTTCACAGAGGCCAGCTCCTTATCGGACGACTGCAGCACCAAGCGCAGGTCACGGATCTCGCTCCTCAGAACTGAAAGAAGTGCAAAAGGACCGTGGCAAACTTTTCCCATCGCCGGCTAAAGTCAAAAGTTCTTACATTTCTTAAGATGAGCACAAGTTCATGCAATCAGCAGAAACATCACAGACTAACCTTCTGCAGCTTGCTGTTCAGACTGAAGGCTCTGTTGCAGGTTGTTAATAGTTTCTTGCAGACAGAGTTGATCTTTATTCCAGTTATTTCTTTCAGTAGAAAGTTGCTGTACAACAGTGTAAATAATCAGAAATCAATTTTAAAAAGGACATTTTCCAATTTTTCATGCAAATTAAACATTTCTACCTCGTCCTTGCAGTCAGATTCCTGAGTTATCACAGCCACCTGTTCCTCAAGTTTGGCGATTTCTTGCAGCACCTTGCTGTTCTTCAGCTCCTCTTCATTCAACTGCGCCTGGATGCGGCTAGCTTGATCCTGATGACAAATCAGAAAAAGTTTAACACAATAAGTGGACTTTATGCGGTCATTTTATTTGCATAGTATATGCAGACAAAAATCCACACTGCTTTACCTGCACTTGACGCAGTTCCTCCGTCAGGGCCATCTCAGTCATGTCTGATGGAGGCTGCTCCGACCAAATGCCGTTTTCATTACCGTCCATCCCATTCAGGTGCTCCGGGCTGGAGAGCGGCACGAGGCGGGACCGCAAGTTGTATCCTCTGGTGGGCGTGCTGAGAATCTGGTACAATAGATATTTCATTATTGAAGCACAATTCATTTTTTCATAATCCTAAATAGAGACTGGACCCAATGTTACCTTATAGTTAGTCATTTTTGCAACGACTAACCTTTAGAGTTTCAACATGAATTCGGTTCAGTTCAGAAACCTCCTGTTTGTTATAAGCATTTGTAGCTTCCAGAATCTTCTCCAAATGTTTGTTGGACTTCTCAAGGTATCGTTTCTCAGACTCGAGCTGAGCCATCTGCTTCCTGAAACACAAAGCACCACTTTAATCTTCGTGAAGTTTATTTGTGATTTAAATAATACATATTAAAAATTCTTTCAAATACATTTTTGACACAGAGATCAAAGCTGAGCTGTGTTTTCATATATGATACCTCTTCTACAAGAGGTAGAAGGGATGTTAACATCAGATTTATATTAAAGAACCTCTTTAACTCTTACTTGGTGACATCTTTGTACTCTTCAAAAGCCTGAAGGGCCCCTGTCAGGTCTGACTGTCTCTGAAGGAGCTTGGCATTGAGTTTCTCAATTGTCGCTGCCGAGGTGGTATCTGTAGCCACAGAGGCTGAAGAGACTTCTGAAGCTGTGGAGCAACAAGTGATAATTAAAAACAACACTATATTATAATTCACAGTTTTATTTTTCCAAACATAATTCTCCAATTTTTGGATGGCAATCTTACTTTCTGTGGGTCTCTCTGACTCCACAGCTTTCTGAAAGGCCTCTTCAATCTCCACAGCAACTTGGGCTGCAACTTCTTGAGCTTTCACCACTGATTCAAGCGAACGTAGCTGACGGTTCTCCTCTCTGAGGCTGTAATTCTCTGCAGCGTAGCGAGTCATCTTTGGGTGATGTTCAACCTTGTTCAAGGCAGAAGTAAAAAAAATAAAAATAAAGAGTGTGGTGGTGAAGAAAGTGAGAATTTAATTATGGCACATGTAACCTTGCTTTTGCCATGTTGTTATATGAAGAAAAATATATATACCACTGGAGTGTATTTTGATTTTAGTTTCTCCTACAGCTTGCATCTATACAATATGCAGATATAGTTTCAAAGCCTTTAATTTAAGCAGTGGGCTGACATTTGTACCTGATCCTTCAAGATCTTAATCTCTTCTTTCAGCTGATCAATCAGAGCCTGAGAGTCCTTGTCTGACAGCGAGTTTTCCCCTGCCTTCAGTTTTTTCTCCAGACGAGAGATGTGGTCTTCTCGAAACCTGACAATCATTCGGCTGGAATGGATAAACTTGTCTTTTTGCGCCCAGGCCTCCTCTAGTTGGGCCACCTTGGTGAGTAGCGCCTGAGAACAATCAAACGTAACTATAAGTTTCACTATAGGTTTTTAAAATACGTGGCAAAATAAACAAATAAAAGCTTCATCTTGCCTTTTTTTCCTCATCTTGTTTCTTCCACAGACGAACAGCAGACATAAACTTTGCTTTATATGAGACATCATGATGAGTCTCGATGGATGAGCCTGGATTGGTTAGAATAAAAAAAAAAAAAAAGTAACTTAGTCTATGCTGAACTCTAAAACGGTTTAAACAGGTTGTTAACGGGCTGAACATTAACATATGTTTGATTCATTGTTACCCATGTGAAGTTCAGGTCCTCCTGGTGCTATGTCTCTCCCATAGTCCACTCCCTGAGATGTGAGCGCCTGAGCAAGCTGCTCCTTCAGCTTCTTCACTTCAGCCTGCAGCTGCTTCACATTTCCCTGTGTATCTTCATTGATGACAGCCTGGCAAGGCACAATAATTATACAGAGATAGGAAAAAACTGTAGTGAGAAATCAAGACACACTTGTTAATTCTAAGTTTTAACTAAGTATTTGGCTCCTATGACTTATACCTTATTTTTGATCAACTTTGCTCTCTGGGCAAACTGCAGGGTGGACAATGTTTCTCCAAAACACTTTGAACCAGGGTGGACATTGGCTATGATGTAAGTCTTGGCATTCCCTCCAAGAGAGTCCTGAAATTACAGTGACAATAGAATTGTTAATATATCTGAACATTATTTCACATATAATTCCCCAGAAGTTACACTGTGAAATTTTATGAATCTCATATATTCACTGCAATCCATACTCTCCAACCTAGGAAATCACATTTGCAAGTTAAGACCTAAAATAAAGAGAGAAAACCTTAAAAATCAAGCACTGCAACGATAATGCCTAACTGTGGCGCATGTCTGCAATTATTATTTCCATGCTACATCCTCCTGAATTTGCATCTACACATACCCTGAGCAGAAAGGTGAGCTTTGAATCCCTGTAGCAGATGTGGCGATTCTTTCCATTAGACACGTCCACCAGCGCCATGATCACCTGGCCAAGGCACATGAGGGAGCGATTGATACTGCTGGCCTCCTGAGCAACAGAAGCAGAGCAGACAGCAACTTTTAGAGACCATAAAACAATGTAGGTCCAATAGTGTGAGGGCATTAAGACACAAAGCCTTCACCTTCAATCTCGAGCCCTCTGTGTGTGTGTCTTTCTGCCTCTCAGATCCTGCCAGATCAACCAGGTTCAGCTGAGACATTCGGATGTTCACCACTTCATTGATGGACTCCTTGGACTCCAAAGTCATAGTGAACACTGCGTGGGATCTCGAAGACTCGCGATTCATCGAGGTAGAGGCCACACGTCGATTGCGCCAGCCCATAGAGAGCACCTAAATGGTTTAAAACACACATTTTATACAGTCCCACAGCTTGTTTTGTTTTTATGAAACTGGATAAATTCACATACAAGAACATAAAGGTTTCATACATTCTAATTGGTTAGACAGTAAACATAAGAACCATCAGCCACAACAAACTGGGACTTTATACCTGGTACGCTTCAGCCGCTGAGTTCACAAACTTCTCCACGACTCCCTCAACAAAGACACCTTTCTTGATGTTCTCCCTGAGAAAAAGGCTGGCTGAGGCCGTGTCCAGAAGGTCATAAATTTGTTCATTGTATATCTCAATAAATGAACATTTGCAGAGGAAACTCTTGGACTGAGAAGACTGTTGGGGAGGGGAGAACAAGTGAAAAATTCATTTAAAGAACAAATTTGAACAATATGTCTTTCAAGATAATAAAATGTTAGCACTCACCCTTTCCACTTCCCTGTTGATGAGAAAAAACAGGTACTCAAAACTTCGAGGAATGACCCCCCTTAGATCATCTGTGAAATTATCCAGCTCGGATGGCCCTGAAGCAAAAGAGAGAAAAATTATTTTAGGTTATATGATTGTTTGATCATATTTATTCTAAAATGTAAGTGATATTACAGAAGCCGCACCAAGCATGGTGAAGGTTTTTCCAGAGCCTGTTTGTCCACTGCAAAAGAGGAGACCAATAAGGAACCAAATGGGTAATTCACATTAAGCACACTGAAGACTGGCTGTGCCATAAATTGATTTTATGAAGTAAAGAATGGGAAGATCACTTACTAGGCAAATATTGTACCGTTATATCCATTCATGCACGACTCAACAATATTCTTGGCCACACTGGAAAATACAGCATCCTGTAGAAATGTTACAATTACTTTTTTAGCCATAAAAGCTACATCTCAGATCAGTAAAATTAAATTTAGACACTTAATTTTAACAGTCACACAGTGGCATTTTTATAACCGAATAATCAATAATGTGCCTCAAACCTGTGTGGTGTCCATATCAGCAACATGATCATAGGTGAAGGTTCGTGGTTCTGGTTTTGCGAGCAAACGGATGGTGTTTGGTGACGTGACAGAGAGACACAGGTTCTGATCGCCATCTGTGGTCAGCCCAGTGTCCCGGGTCAGAGGTCGTACTCTGACAAAGACTTTAATAGAGTCGCTCTCACTGCTTTAAGCCCAGATAATAACACGACAAAGAGAAAGATATTTAAGGTGAAAATGGCAAGAGTTAAACACTGTTAAAAAGAGCAGCTGCTAATTTACTGCATGGTTGTTTTAACTATAACTATTGTCTTTCCAAAAGCATCAAAATAACAGTTAAAGTGGCCTCATTAGCCACACACCGTACCAGCAACAACACTATGCATTATTGCGTGCATTATTTCATTACATTGGCTCATTTTTATTTTACTTTTCCTGCTCCATAAATGTGCTGCATACAGCTGAGAAATTTATTTTCACAAACAGATTACACCAACATAGTTTGTGAGCCTGCATGTTTGCTAATCCATACAAATTACAGCCCTTTTAGAGATCAATCCTAACGATGTGACCAACTATCTCACTTTGGTCATTACATTTAGTCACTTAACTCCTAATCATAAGGAGGGAAACAGTTTGCTTTTGATCCTTCTTGGTAGCAACAGAGTTAGGGTCGTATTAGTATGAAGCAGCTCTGGTTTCATTTTACAGTTATCCTTTTAGGTTTGTAGCGTTAGCGTTTTAAACTAAAACAAAAAACAGACGGCGTGACAAAGTATGATTACCTGGCAGCAAGGTGAGCTGAATCAGCAGAGCCTGTTAACAAAATCATGACCATGTTAGATGTTGATTTAGCTTTGCAAGTCGTTTTTAGAGCTAAAGCTTCATTAATAATACAGCGTTCAAGTATCATGCTTAGAGCTTCCATACATACTCGATGCCTGGCATCGAGTTTCATAGCAGCGTTTAAGCTAATTTTACTCCTGTTAGCTGAACAACAAAAACATGGATTTGTGCTGCTCTACCTTTCCCACTGGAATTCATTGTTGACAGCCGAATATTCTCAGTTTCCTGGTAAAATATATTTTTCACAACATTTCGATTAACAGAGGCAGAAAGACAGCACTGTTTACATCCTTCGAAATTGGCGGGCAAGTTTGCTCCTACTTCTTCTTCTTCCTTAGTTTTATGAACAGACTATTGAACGGGACATACCGCCACCTGCTGTTCAAGTGAAAACTGTTGATTGTTTGTTTTGTTCCAGGGATTTTGTCTTGTTTTGTTTAGGTGAGGTGAGTGAGTATTTCCAGCAGATCCCAGGAACGACATCCCGAAATCTCTTTCTTAACCCTGTATTATGTAGGGACTTTGTTACTATCAGTCTTTCAAGAAAACAAAATGTCACTAGTAACAGTTTCATAGGCATAACCTTTTATTTTTTGCATCAGTAAGGAGATACCAAAAGAATTATTAGCCGAAAAGCATATCTTGGTATGGTGTGAAGTGTGCCCCTGATAATCTGAGACAACTGGATAAGTGGAGAACAGAAGAAGTGACATGACTGAAAAACTGTCCACAGCAAATGAACAGTATCTGAAAGTTATGTCCTTAAGAAATAGGACAAATCTAATAAAGACCTGACATAGGACCTGCGAGACACATCTGGCCCTTCAGTTGATTCATCAACTGTTCACCGAAGCCTTGTCAGAAATAGATTTTTGACAACCGTATTTCCACTGACACTGACTGAAAATCAGTAGCAGCAAGTCTTATGGACTGATGGATCCAAATCTGAAATGTCTGGTTAAAACTGTCAGTATAGAGAGGTAAGAAAAAGGTCTAACAGTGTTTGTCTTCAGACATCTGTAAAACACAGTAGAGGATTTGTCATGGTTTGAGGCTGCATTTCAGTCCGGGGTGTTGGGGACTTTGTCAAAAGAAAGAGCCAAGATCCAAAGAAGATCTTTGAATGTCTTTTTTTTTTTTTACCTCATATACTGCAATTCTTTGTATGTTTTTACATGTTTCAATAAATCAACCAAAAAAGATAAATGATGAAAGAAATGATTGGACATAAACAATGTCATTTGGATCACGTTAGACTAATGATGCAGACGCTCAAGTAGCTGTGTCGTTTGATGAAGTAGATTATTGATAGATAAGTAACAGACAGAAAACCTACTTCACCTACCTACGGGATGTACGTATCTAAGCGTCTAATGACAGAAAATAAAAACAAAAATAAACTAATCCCTTTCTAATGTAGTAAAGTAATGCAAAATCCAGAACTGTAACACAAAACCTTATCGTATTTTTTTTCTTTAAATATATGTTGTTGTTTTTATCACGCTGTGTAGTAGTTTTGGTTTAAGGAGTGTGTAACATTTTATTTTAGAGCACATTACCTTGCCACTCCTGTCATCTTTAAAGCTGACTCGAGTGCGCAGTCACCAAAATACATCACATCCGTTCTTTCACGGATTGGCTGCTTAACCGGGAAGTGCGTTCCCTTTGAACGCTTCCCCCGATCTAATTGGTGAGTTTCACGGCTTTTAAAATCCAAACGGTTGTCACCCAGGCAAGGCGAGGGCTTTTCAAAACGACTTTGTTTCTCATCGTCACTGTATAGACGAAGACCCGGTTTCTCTCAGCACCATATGTTTTATTGAGGTAAGTGGTAGATACACGGGATTACAGTTTAGTATGTTATTTCTGGCAATGTTTGGTATTTTAAGATGTGATGTTGAGATTTTATTTTCTTCGACTTTCCGTTAACTAAAGTGCACCGGTTAGCTAGCAAAGGTGCTATTGTCACGTTACTGTTGACGTTAACTATATCAGTGCTAGTGTGTACAGGGTGTCGAAAGTTGAATTAGCTTTAATGAAAAAATTTGGTAAACTTGAGTAGGGAGTAGATGTGTTTGTTGTAACCTAACCACATCGTGGCTTGTACTCTGCGGTTTATGTGCATTGTTGTTCTCTTACTAATAACTAACGGTTGAATGAAACACTGCCCTCCTGGCATCCATCAGAGACAGTGGGGGGTTTATCTACCGCTTCAGTGCCAGCAAACGGCTGTCTTGTACGGCCATTAAGACACCAGGGAAGGTTGATTCGCTATCCATTATTTGTAACCAGGTTTGTAAAGTTAGGCATGCTAACCTTTGGCTACAAGAAATCACGTGTTGCTGCTTGGTCATATATGCGATTCATGTAGTTTAACCAGTTAAAATAACTTGGAAGACTCATTCCTCCCAATAATGCTTCATTCATCTAGGGCTTAATACGTGACTTAGACAGCATTAAGTCTAAAGACTAAAAGCCAAAGCTTAGATAAATATTTATATACCAGGATTTATCAAAATTGGCGGATAAATATTTAGGATTTTATTTTAAACTGATAATGCTATATTATCTAAAAGCATTATTTTTGTTACCAAGTTGTTGACATTGACTGCCATTTGAGTGTGGAAAAATAAACTCTTCAAGACCATCTGGTGGCCAAACCATGCAACTGCTGCAGCGCTAATTCTACCTAAAATATTTTGTTGTGCACAAAACAAATGTAGTAAAGTGGTGGGATTAAAGGCAAACGGTAGCCTTACTGCAAACCACCCGGAGAGAGGAGTTCAAATGAGTTCTAAGAACTTCACCAGGAGAAGTACCGACTCAATATATCTGCCTTGGTTCTTGTGTAAATCTTACATTATTTTTCTCTCTTGCTCTCCACCCACACTGAGTAAACTGTAACCAGAAGAGTGCCTTATCAACTGGTTGCAGCTTTAAGACTGACGCCTTCTTCAGCGGTGAGGGTTAGAGGTCCCAGTACAGTCGCATAACAGTTTTTTTTTCCTCTATTTTTTACAGGATGAGCTCTGTTGATGTTAATGATGAAAATCGTGGGGTCTTCCCAGGAGGAAAGCACAACTCTCCTAACGACATATTTGCCCTGGATCAGCCGACTGGAAGGCCCTCCATCCTACGCCAGACAGAAAACCTGCCCAGCAAGACTGTACCAAAGGGGGTAAAAGTTAAAAAAAAAAACAAAAAAAACCCTTCATCCCATTCCATTGTATAGTCACAAGGCAGTGTAGCCCTGGGCAGAAAGCTAATGCTAATGACTGCCTTTCACTCTTTGACTATGATGAAAAATTATTTACTTTTGGTACTATATGAACTCTGACCTCAGCCTGTTTGTCTCTAACCAGTGTTAACAGAATTTTAATAAGATGGACAAGAAAACCTATATGAAGAAAAAGAAATGCAGTTATTTGTAGACAAAAGGTTTTTCAAGGCTCAAAACCAGGCCTTTTGGGGGCAGCTGGCTACTTCTGACTACTGACTAAATAATTTTTGTGTAGGTTTGTTTTCAGACTCCAAGAAGAGACCCTGTGACTAAAAGAATTCTGTCTCCCAACAAGTCTGTCAATTTGTTGAGTGTTGACGAGAATACAAAAGTTATGGATTTGGATAAATCGAAGTAAGTAAATGCGTGTCATTCACCAGTATGCCTTCATTGAACAAAGTGTTGCATTTAGGTAACCTATCATGTTTTGGTTTTGTAGTACTTTGCCACAGGAAGCCACTGAGCAACTCAAAGAAGGTAATTTATTTTATTTTTTTAAACTTGTAAGTTATGAGCTCTTTATGTATTTTCCCCCTACCACTGCTGAGAGATTAGCAGATACCTTCATTACTTTTTTCTTTCCCCCTGCAGAAGTGTCATCTTATCCCGATGACAACATGCCAATACAAAGCAGAGGTGGCTACATGCTGGATTTTGGAAACCTTGATGACTTCAATCCATTTCAGGGGTCTAACAATATGGCTCTCTCACCTATGAGGCCTGCTGTTGAAAACCCCCCTGCAGATCATAGCAAGTCTGAAAACACACCGCCAGTGAACATCGTGGAGGAGCCTATCAAAATGGAGTCGGCACTAGATGAGACCCTTCCATTCAGCGCGTCTGTAGAAAACTCACTCGCTGATCTTTCTGCCGATATCTGCTCCACGGAGAGCAGTGTGGTTATAGTGAAGGTTCCAGTGGTTGAGGAAGACAATTCATGGCCTGCGACACCTGATGAAAAACGGCTTGGTGTTGCGTCTTCAAGCACAGATCAAGAGAAGTCGTCCAGCAGTTTTGCAGAAGATGCTCCACTCTCAGCAAAAGGTTCTTATAACTTCGATTTTGACAACCTTGACGCAGTCAATCCCTTCCAGACTGGTGGCTCTAAAATTCCAAATTCACCTGTACTTGGGCGAAAGGTGTCAAATGAAGATGCACTTGCAGAGGAAAGCAAACAATCTGTTGTTGAGGTGGCCCAAGAATTGCCTGTTCAGCACGAGGTGAAGCATGACGCTACAGTGGATCTGATATCTGCCGACACAGCAAAACCCCCTCCTGAATCCCAGCCGGCTGATGACCCAGTCAAGGAAGGCCCAACCAAGAACGGGCCTGTCAAACTTGAATTCAATTTTGATGATGGTGCTGAAGTCAAACGGAAACCGCCACCTAAGAAATTTGGCAAAAGGCCAACTGGTGTAAGACCTAAAGAGCCAAAGCAGGTGTCTGATGTCAAACCACCAAAAGAAGCTGAAGTGACGCCTGAAGTCAGTTATGGTGATGCTGATGCTGTACAGCCTAAAAGTTCTTACTCCTTTGACTTTGAAAAGTTTGACGACACAAACTTCAATCCTTTTGGCACAAAAACGGCCATAAACAACTCCCCCGTGTGCAGCAGGAAATCCAGCCCAGAACCAGTAGAAACCGCAGTTCAGGAGCAAACTGATGTCCCTGTGACAAAGGAGGCTGAACCGCCAGCACGGTAAGAGAAAGTAAAGGCTTAGTATCGTTATTATTAGCAGCAGACGCTTCACTTACCAGTAGTGCCATATTTCACTGTAGATTCACTCTAAAAGTTTTCATCTTCTCAGTGCTGAAGACAGTTTGCCAGCTCCTGAACCAAACCATGTACAGGTAAGTTGGAGGAATGTACTTTGATGCAACTCTCAATATATTGTGTATGTGTGGGTTGTTTTTAACAAACATCTGTTTATTATGGAATGACAGGTTGTAGATAACAAGGTTGTCTCTGACCTTGACACCAAACAACCAGTGCAGAATCTCCCTGAGTCCTCTGAACCCTCTCAGCCTGAGCAGAAGGCACAAGCTGGCATGCTAGACTTCAATGACGACTTTGTTC